CATTTGTAGACACTATAACTCTCACGTAAACCAATTCATTTACACGTACTGGGATTTTTTTTTAGCAAAGACATGTAGCAGAATACATTTTGTCCTAAATTTATGGTTAAATTTGATTTTTAAAATGTTTTACTGGACATTTTTAATAGCCAAAAATATTGTTTTTTTTCTCAAAATTGTCGGTCTTTTTTTTTTTATAGCGCAAAAAATAAAAACCGCAGAGGCGATCAAATACCACCGAAAAAAAAAGCTCTATTTGTGGGGAAAAAGGCCGTATTGCAAAAAATGGCCTGGTCAGGAGGGGGGGGGGGGGGGTAAATCCTCTGCAGGGCAAGTGGTAAAGAATCTGTGGGATGTGCTGGAAAAAAAAGTCCGATCCATGGAGTACCCACCACGCAACTTACAGAACCTAAAAGGATCTGCTACTGACAGCTTGGTGCCAGATCCCACAGCATACCTTCAGAGGTCTAGTGGGCTCCATGCCTCGACAGAACATGGTGAGTGGTCTTAAGGTAATCTCTGATCGGTGTATACATATGCCTGCATGACAGTGAGGTGCTCAGGAGGAACAATAATGTTTGCCTGCTGGTAACATGTAAATGGTAATTGTGCCTGGAGTTGGGCTTTAAAGCCGAACATATACAAGTATGCAGTAAAAAGTCAGAATATTCTGCTGCTGTGCACACAAAGCTGTTTGGTGTCTCCCAGGCATCTCTCCCAACCCAGATGTCTAAATCACAAGGGGGTTCTGCAGTCCACTGGCAATTGTGTGCTCAGACCTCTCCTCTCTCATATTTTGTCACAAAGGATTCTTTCAAAGTCACAAGACACATATTTTGAAAAAAACTTGTTCTATTTGATATCATTGAAAGCACTACACTATATTGCCAATAGTATTGGGACATCTTCCTTTACACGCACATGAACTTTAAGGGCATCCCAGTCTTAGTCCGTAGGGTTCAATATTGTGTTGGCCCAGCCAAAGTCACATGACAAGTCGCACAAGTGTGAATGGGCTCTTATTGCACAGGTGGTATCCTATCACGGGACCACGCTTGAATTTACTGAGCTCCTGAGAGTGACCCATTCTTTCACAGGTGTTTGTAGAAGCAGTCTGCATGCATAGGTGCTTAGTTTTATACACCTGTGTCCATGGAGGTGAGTGGAACACCTGAATCCAATGATTTGGAGGGGTATCCCAATACTTTTGACAATATAATGTACAGTTAGGTCCACATATATTTGGATACAGGCACAATGTTAGTTTTTTCAGGTATTTACCAAAACATATTCAAGCTATAGTTATATAATGGATATGGGCTGAAAGTGCACACTCTCAGGTTTAATTTGAGGGTATGTAAATCCAAATTGAAGGAAGGGTTTAGGAATTACAGCTCTGAAGAGTAGCCATCCCCCCTTTTTCAAGGGACCAAAAGCAATTGGATAATTGAATCAAAAGCTGTTTCATGGCCAGGTGTGGGCTACTCCATTATTTATTCATCAATTAAGCAGACAAACTCCAGATCTGGAGTTGATTCTAAGTGTGGTATTTGCATTTGGAATCTATTGCTGTGAACCTACATCATGCGTTCAAAGGAGTTGTCCATGCAAGTGAAACAGGCCATTGTAAGGCTTCAAAAACTAAACAAATCCATCAGAGAGATAGCAGCAACATTAGGAGTGGCCGAATCAACAGTTTGGTACATTCTGAGGAAAGAAGACGCACTGGTGAGCTCAGCAGCATAAAAAGGCATAGATGACTATGTTAGACAACAGTGGTGGATGATCACAGGATCTTCTCTATGGTAAAGAAAAACCCATTCACAACATCCAGACAAGTGAAGGACACTCTCCAGGAGGTGGGCACATCATTGTCAAAGTCTACAATCAAGAGAAGACTTCACGAGAGCAAATACAGAGGGTTCACAACAAGGTGCAAACCATTCATAAGTCTAAAGAATAGAAAAGCCAGATTAGATTAAAACATCTAAAAAAGTGAGACCAGTTCTGGAAAAGCAGGGAAGCAGAAGAAAAGGAGTGTGCCAGGTCAGGAGGAGTAAATTCAGTGAAAAACTGTAAAACAGAAGACTTACATCTGGGATTCCTTCAGTCGGGACGTGGAGTGGAAGGACCAGTTGAGGAGCAGGATCGTGGTGCAGTCAGGTGGATGGATGGGTGACAGCAGTGGGACCATGCAGAGAGCCACTCGCAACTCAGCGATGCGAGTTCAAAAGTTCTGGAAAAGATTTCTTTGGGCGGATAAAACTAAGATTAATCTGTACCAGAATGACGGGGAAGAAAAAAAGTGTGGACGAGGCTTGGAACAGCTCATGATCCAAAGCACATGTCATCTGTAAAACATGGTGAAAGCAGTGTGATGGCATGGGCATGCATGGCTTCCAGTGGCACTGGGCCATTGGTGTTTATTGATGATGTGACAGAAGACAAGCAGCCAGATGAATTCTGCAGTGTTTAGAGATATACTGTCAGCCCAGGTTCAGCCAAATGCAGCAAAGTTGATTGGATGGCTCTTCACAGCACAGATGGACAACGATCCAAAACACACCGCAAAAGCAACCCAGGGGCTTTTGAAGGAAAAGAAGTGGAATATTCTGCAATGACCAAGTCAATCACCTGATCTCATGCTCAATTGAGCATGCATTTCACTTGCTGAAGGCAAAACTAAAAGCAGAAAGACCCACAAACAAAGAACAACTGAAGACAACTGCAGTTACAGCCTGGCAAAGCATCAGAAAGGAGGAAACCCAGTCTTTGGTAATGTCCATGGGTTCTAGCCTTCAAGCAGTCATTGCCAGTAGAGGATTCTTAACAAAATATTAAAAATGAACATTTTATTAATGATTATATTTGTCCAATTACTTTTGGTCCCTTGAAAAAATTGGGGGTGGCTATTCTTAATAGCTGTAATTCCTAAACTTTTCCTCCAGTTTGGATATACATTCCCTCAAATTAAACCTGAGAGTGTGCACTTTCAGCCATATCCATTATATAACTATAGCTTGAATATGTTTTGGTGAATACCTGAAAAAAATCTAAAATTGTGGCTGTGTCCAAATATATAACTGTATGTGTTTTTTTGGTCACAGGACAAGTTTTTTGGTCTTTATTTGTGCACATTCTTTACGTTTCCTTTAACCAATAAAATGGTTATAGATATATTGTTTGCGTGTTTGGAAGGTTTAGTAAGCACGCCTGAATTTTTCTTTGATGTTTTTACACAGTGTTTTTAACACTTACAAAGCAGCATTTTTTATTATTTTTATTTCATTACTCAGAGGTGCTGATAAACAGTGAAGAATTTATAATATTTAGTAAACCTTACCTTACCTGCATTCCCTTTTCCGCTGTAAGCATAGGGTCGCTCCAGTGATCTTGAACTTATAACAGAAATGTTCCCTAGACTCTCCTGAGTAATAGAATAACTGTGATTCCCCCCCACAACTCTGCACTGCACCCTGTTTTTGAGCGATTTCCCCCTACCCACTGTGCACCCATATAGTGCTCCCTCTTGTGTCCCTCCTTGAGCCTGCTGCTGTTCCCTACCTCTTTGTGCCTCTGATCGCCCCCCCCCCCCCCCCCCACTGCTGTGTGCTCCCCATCCCCCTGCCCCCTTCCCCACTGCCCATCAGCAGCTGCACTGGGGAGAGGATAAAATATTTAGGGTGCTGAGCAGGGTGGGGAGGATATGTGATAAACATGTCCCATCTTAAAGTGATATTAAAGGTAATATTTATTGAAAAAAAAAATGACAAATATGTCCTACTTACCTGCTATCGCACAGAGCAGCCCCGATCCTCCTCTTCTTATGTCCCCCTGCTGGCGCTCCTGGCCCCTTCCTCCTGCCAAGTGCCCCCACAGCAAGCAGCTTGCTATAGGGGCACCCAAGCAGGATCGCTCCTGAGCCCCTGCCCTGTTTTTCCATTCACACACAAAGCCATGGCTCAGACCCATCCCCTCACTCTCCTCAGAGAGAGTCCATGGAGAGCCGAGGATCTTGTGCACATTGCTGGATCGTGATGGAGCTCAGGTAAGGCTACTTTCACAAAGAAGGTTTTTTACTGTCATGCATAGAATGCATGAAGGTAAAAAACCTTGAGCCTATACTACCACTTTAAATGAACACAGGATTGATCAGTTGTGATCAGTCTTGTTTTCATTCATAATGGAGGCCACGTGTTTACCATTTCCTGTTTGTGAATGACCGCAGAAGCACTCTGTGTTCAGTAGTGAGTGCAGGACTACAAAAACTGCAGCGCATCAACACACTAAGGGCCTATTCACACCAGCAGGCATCAGTTATGGTGCTCTTTAGGCACATGTGCTGCAGTGTATTGTTACAGTACTTGAAGTACCTGATTTTTTTCTTTAAAACCTAAAAATTATTATTTAATTTCTATGCACGGCAGCACATTGAGACACATTGTTGTGCACTGTAATGTGATACATTGCGATAAATTGTATGACTGCATCATTTTACTGTCACACTCATTGATGCAGCACACCACAACACTGTGGACTGGATGTTACTGCAGCACATAGGTGTGATGCCAGCATCAATTTGCACCATTTCCCAAAAAAGGCACAATTTAAAATTTGCAGATAATTGTGATCTATTAACTCATTACAGTTTTATCTTTTAGATTTAGGGACATATGACTGAGATTCGGACACACAAATGATACACAAAACTGCAAAATTTGGTTTGCATTTGAAAGTTTTGATTACTCGCAGGCCTGAAGGGATTTAGAGACATCCATCTGATCAGTCTGGTCGCAGGCTCAAACCCACTGAATGAAGTACTAGGCCTAATGGCTGATGCCTAGCAGTAGCAGGTCTTGGGAGGTTTAGTACCAAGTTATGTGACTGGAGAGTGTGTGCAATCCTCAACAGCTCTGCTGCCCTGACATCATGTTTGTGTATTGTCCACATACACATATGGTACAATGTACACAGACAAGGCTGGAATTTACCACACTTACCTCTCTCATCACTATGTGAAACCAGCCAGAGTCGAATCTCATAGTCCTGACCGCAAGAGACCATCTGAAAACACTCAGTGCCATGTAACCCGTCTGTTGAAGAAAGACATAAAACGTGTTTAAATGTAAAGGACAACATTCAACTGCCACCTTGTAATCTAGACACACCAATATTTGGTCCACTCAAAACAACAGAGCGAGAGATAACCTCCTCGTCAAAGGCACTAATGATAAACTTACAGTTAAATCCATGCCAATGCAAAAACCAAAGATGAAGTGAATATTGCAGCAACCAGATGTCTGCATGCTACAAACAGATCAATGATAGATCTGAACGGTGGTAATGCATTACTGCACTTTGTAAACTGCTCTTTACCTTATCAATTGTTCAGCTACATGTGAGATTTTCTATTGTTTGGCAGCACAAGTTCTCCCTGTGCGTGTGTGGCTTTTCTCCTGGATACTCCACTCCAGAGACATGCTGGTAGGTTTATTTGCTTCTGTCTAAGCTTGGCCCCAGTTTGTGTGCATGTATTCATGTGCAATGGGGACCTTAGATTGTAAACTACATAAAAGGCAGGGACTGATATCCAGTATGTAAAGCACTGTGTAAATTGATGTAATAAATACACAGCTTCATTTACAACACATAGATGCCAATGGTGTAGCAAATGAGAATGTTGTTAAAAGGTAAGAGTATGAGTAATAGACCTAGAGTGTCCCAAATATATATATTTTTGCTTGTACTTCATGCTTTGAATCTAAGGACTCATGGTAGGGTCCTTATTACTGCCTTTCCAAACAATCAGCCTTCTCTAACTGACATACACAAACCAACTATACTACCACCCTCCTTGGACCAGACCTCAGATCACAACCACATTGATTGTCCAGCACCTCCAACCTCACACAGGTAAGTATGTTGAGGAAAACTGTAGCTGGGAGCCCAGGTGTGTGCAGAGTCATGGCTGTCTGTATGTACCTGGGCTCCCAGCATCAGTTTTCTGCAACATACTTGCTTCACAATGGGTGATTTGACTGTGTAAATGAGGCCTGACAACCGGGGTGGATAAAAATCGATTATTTTTTAAAATAAAAAATTAAAAATCAGATTTTTAAATCGGATTTATTTCTATTTAGATCAGATTTTTTTTATTTTTATCAAATGTATTTTAATAAAATGCTTTTGGAGTAAAAATCTATCTAAAGATACTTTTCTATTTAAGATTAATAAATTAGTTTATTCAGTATGAAATGGAGCTTAGTTATGTAGCATGAGGCTGTATATTCTGCAATATTTACATTTTTGGTAAACTCATTCAATGAATCCAAGCTCTGCAAGGTGAGATAACATGCACTGTATTGATGCATTCACACACTTTCACAGTAACCATGAGAAAAAAACATGACATAAAAGAATTCGAGTCGTTCTCCAGCTATGTGTGATTAACCTATAAACCTAAAATCGGTTCTGATATCGCTGTTTTACTAACCTGATAGCTTATTATTCTAAAAAGGAAACCTTCATTTGGTTTGCAATATTAAAGATTCTAACTACCAGCAAGAATGAGTCGGATTCCTTACATTTAAAGAGCACCTGTCATTTTAGATCCATCATGGCATCCCCTCACCTGCTGCCGCCACGTCCCTCACCTTGTTGTGTCACTGCCGCATCACCAGCCCTCCCATTAAAGTGAATGGGATTGTCGGTGAGTCAACAGCGGGTCAGAGGAGGAGCCGCTGCAGGACAGCGATAACAGTTTCACTTTAAATCGAGCCTTTTCACTAGCGATTTAAATCAAATCCACCCTGCTGACAATACACAATATGATCTACAGATGCAGAACTAACCAGTTACTGTCTGTGAGGAGAAGTCGCAGCAGGTCACACCCAAGTCATGTGCCTTCTCATTGTACAAGCATCGCATGTTCTCATCCCAGGCTGTTAGATCACCTGATGAGGAACCTGTGATAAATAGATTTCCTCCAGGGGCAAAGGCACAGGCCACCAGGGAACCATCCTTCACTAGGCCTGATCTGGATACAAGAAAGGAAGGAAAGGTTTAATTAATGCTGTTCACATGCTGGCTGTTATGTATAAGAAACAGAATAGAAGCAAAAAGAGTTGAGTTGCCGTGGCCATCAATCAGAACAATTTCCACTAAAGCCAGGTACATATTGTGTGGGTCTTTAAAGAAAACTTTTTTTTTAAAGTTTTAGATATATTCTGGAAAGGTTAGAACCCCTGTCAGGTTTTACTGGTATTTGGGGAGCTGGTAAAGAGATTTCGCCATATTTTGGGGAACATTTTACCAGTCAACAGAAAATCCTCTTCTTGTAAAAAGTTTTTTTTTTCTGTCTTTGTTGCAAAGAGACTGCAGCTAACTTCCTGTCCTGGGGATCACCTTTATTTTTTACAAGGAAGTGAAGAAATCTCTCTAAGAGAGCCCTTAATGGCAGTAAAATCTGACAGGAGTTCCAATCCTTCACTTCTCCAACCAAAACTAACACAAAAAAGTTTGAGCTATGGATACTGTGACAGACCGGGACAGGGACTTTTGGAGGGGACTAGAAGCTAGCCTTTTACCCACTGATTATGGCCCATGGAGGAGACCGGAGATATTATCTGCTTCTCCCGGTCAGAGCATGCATGGGAAAGAGCTCAGTTCAGCCTCTGAACCCATGGAGAGAGCAGATCATTCTCTAATGATGGACAACAACGTGATAAACGCTGAGAGCGAGGCTTAAATTCTCTGAATAAAGACAATAAAGCTTTCCTTATGGAGAGGATGGAAAGGTGTAATATTAATCTTGTACAGGTTAGAGGAAGAACAGTGGCGCTCCTGCAGACTGGGTTGGATTGAAAAGCTCCTCCACTTGGCACAGAAATATTTATCAACAATCCCACTCAAGAAATCTATGACTTTTCTAGTAGACAGATTACACAATTGAAAGCCAAACACCTAAAAAACAGCATGTGTAATGTACTTTGTGTATTCAGGGTTGTGGTTGCCGGACTATCTGAGGTGGGTTCCCGACTAGTCTGAGTACTTGGCTGTTGATTAGCTTATTTTTAATTAGATCACTGTTTAATTAGGACACTGTTTGAAACTAACTGTTCATTAGATATACTGTTAAATGTACTGATATTACTGTTTAAAGTTTGCATTGTTTAGGACAGTGGTCTCCAAACTGCGGCCCAGGGGCCAGATGTGGCCCTTTGCTTGCTTTTATCTGGCCCTTGGGGCATTATTTCCCCCACTGCCAGCAACAGAGGGGCATAGTTCCTGCTGCTGACACCGACAATAGGGCACCATTCCTACCATTGACACCAATGATGGGACACTGTTCCTCCCATTAATACCAAAGACGGGGCACTATTACTCCACCTAATACTAATCATGGGGTATTGTTTACTCCCAAGTCAGGATATTTTCTACTCCTACTGACCACAGTCTGGCCCCCCTAAAGTTTGAAGGAGAGTGAACTGGCCCTTGGTTTAGAAGTTTGGAGACCCCTGGTTTAGCATAATCTGATCAAACTCTTGTGAGTTTGCGTGGTATAATTCTGTGTGAAATTTCAGTAAAAGACAGTTCCTGTTTGCACTTAAGCTAGTGTTATCCAGTTCTTGATCTAGATCAGCAAGTTACAGTGGGACTGTCATAGTGCAGTGGGCAATCTGACACTAACTGACCCTTTTTGGGAACTGGCTAACTGACACATACATCACCAATGAAACTAATAAAGTGATCAGTGCTAATACTGTACACTGTCACTGTACTAATGACACTGGCAGGGAAGAGGTCAACATTTTGGGGTAATCAAGGGGTTAAGTGTGCGCCTAACAAGTGTTAATGTATGTAATGTGATGTACTAAAGATCGCTTTGTTTATTCTGCAGGCAGAAACCTCTGTTCAGAGCCCTGTGTTGTTTGTCAACACAGGGCTCTAGGCTGTGACTGGAAACAGCCAATCATCAGGACCTGGCCATAAATCAGTGGCGGGGCCCTGCAGACTCAGTCCTGCTGTGTTCAGCCAAATGAGAGCAGGGAAGGGGGGGGCTGAACCCTCTACAGGTCTGTTTACTGGCCTGTGCAAGCCATCTGTCCACAATATATAACTGCATCAGGTCGCCAAGCGGTTAAAGACGTAAATGACATCAGCTATGTATTCCTGATTACATCACTAAACGTATTTTTTCAATGTACAAGTCATGTCTAAATTGACTAGCATCAGCCTCTTGGAATCCCCTGCACAACAGCACTCAGACAGAAAGGGAGGGTGCAGTTCTGGGAGCGAATCAGGTGAGCTGCATGCCAATTTGTTAAGGAACATGCTAATAGAAGGAAATAGAGTGGTGACCTCACCAATCTGCTGCTGCTCCTTCACTGCCTACTTTGCAGAGGACACCACTGTATTCCTTAAAGCGTAAGTAAAAAGTCTGCAATACTTACCTCTCCTTCAATGGCCCAAGTTTCCTTGTCGGCATCTTCTACCCGCTTCTCTTGAGTGCTGGGCTGAAGTTGTCTTCATTGGCCAGCCCAGGTTGACATCACTCCTATGCATGTGCAGTTCAGTCATCTCAGATCTGTGCTGGAATGTGAACTGAGCTGCACATGTGCAGTACACAATGTACATTGTAAGGGTGCAGGCAGACAGGTTTATTTTATTGCAGAAGAGACATTGCATGTCTTTTCAGCAATAAAGAGCTGCCTGCTCACAGTTCTATAAATGGAGGCTTTAGTCCCACTTTAACGGCACGTGGTGTCATTCATCTGGCTGTGTAATGTGATAGGGTTGTATAAATCAATGGATAGAAAGAGATACAAATACAAATAAATTGGTGGTTAAAACAGCTCCCTGTAAAATATTTTATCTGCATATTTATCGGTTTGCCTGAAATTCAGCTTTGCCTCAACCTAGTAAATACTGTCTGGATGCAAACATTCTGCTAGCAGTTCCCCTAACTCCTCCTCATATTGTTATGTTTGCCTACTGTCACAAACTATTGCACATTGATAATGGCCACGTAGAAACTGCTAAAAAAGACAGCATGCATATATTTCAAGAAAATAATTCCCAGGAAAATAGTTACGACTAATGCCTGTAGAAAAAAATTTACCTGTAAAATTTCATCAGTGGTACATTCCACAATACCAAGGATCCGTCAGACCCACCGGACACTAAATATATGGAGTTGGGTGAGAACCTGCACACCCTAACGGGACTGCAACTTGGATGTTCCAGAGATGCCAAAACCTGCCCATTACACATACTCCAGAGGATGGTTCGGCCATCCGTAGAACAGGAAGCCAACATAGTCTGACTAGGAGAGAAACAGCAGCAATGAACAGCATATGTATGTCCTCTGAGGGGTGAGAAGGACACCTCGTTATAGTCATTTAGGGAATACACCCGGATTGTTTTATCCAAGGAGCACGTCGCCAAGAGTGAATCTGAGAAGGCACAACTGTTGACATCATCTTTGTGGTCAGACAACGTCTGAATCAACTCCACCATCATAACCAGCCTACAACAGAAAACACATTGTGTTAAACAAAAACAATAACCATCCAACATTAGATCTGAACTCTAGGTCGATATAAAAGACACAAGTTAATGCAGCTCTGTGATCAGTTATACATCTTTAAATGTATTTTTTAAATGCAAGCAGTGAAGGCACCTGAATTTGACCTGATGTTAGCTTCTTGCAGTGCCTCTATAGCAGAGCTGGAATGCGAGAGGACGAAGCAGGACAAGGATGCAATCAGTTCATGTGCAGACAAGAAACATGCTGACAGGAGGAGAGAGCAGAAATGAGCTGTGCTGCTTTTTTCACTGCCAGTCACAGGCTGGGGAGGATCCAGGATGATCTGGGCTCAGGGAAAGCAAGTTGAAAGAGGGTGGTCATCATATTGAAGACATCTAGAAGCAGGAAAAAAAAAAAAAGTACTGTGGGTGAAATCTCTGGACTAAAGCTGAATATTGTAATGAAAGATGGTTTATTTTATCTGTTAATGAGCTATTAATTTCTATTTTGATATTTTTGACTGGAGTTTGGCTTTACCATATTAAGTAAGGAGTGCTGGACCAATCCTAAAAGACTGGTAGTCTATGGGTCTATAAAATGACAGCTGGCACTTAATACTTCAAATGATTTTGACTGTACTTAGTTTTGTACAGAGGCAGTCTTATGATGGGCTGCTTTTAAAAGGGAAGTATGGCCAAAACATTTTTGGTCATACTTCTCTTCTGGGTCACAACAGTGCACTTACTTTTGCACTCCTGTGACAAAAAATTAGCCATCAGCAGGTTAAAGCTCACTGTTGGTGACGTCATAGAGCCGGTGATGTGAGAATCCACCCAGATGCCTGACTGGCAGCTGGCTCAGCATACTGCTGAGAGCCTGAGCCCGCTGCTCCAATCACTTCCATAGCCTGGTAGTGCAATGAGCGCTGGAGAGGCAGGACAGCCAGCTCTCTCCTCAGAGTGGACCGAGAACAGGACAGTCAGTGGTCATGTAATCGCTCAGTTCTTTGGCTTAAAGCCAGCAGGGGACAGCTGCACTATCACACTGATCATGCAGCCATTTAGGTGAGTATGAATGTTTTGGGAGTTTTTTTTAATTGTCACTTCTCTTTTAAATCAAAATCACTAAACAGTAATGGAGCTATAAGTAGATATAATTTACATGGAGGAGCTCTTATGTCTTCAACTTGTCTTTCCCTCATTAAGAACTTTATAAAGCTATCTTAGATTGTAAGCTCCAAGGATCAGGCCCTCCTAACCCTCTTGTATTGAACTGTATTGTTGCTGTATTGTCTCCCGTTATATTGTAAAGCACTGAGCAAACTGTTGGCACTGTATAATAACAATAATAATAATAACAAAAGTTATGCATTGCTATTGCAATACTGCAAGAAAGCCTGAACTATGGGGGCCACCATTGATGCCGTACTTCTGAAAATGTGTGTTACTTTGCTGTCTCTGGTTGCAATACCTTCTTAGTTAATTATTTAGAAGAATGCAGATCAGGAAAGTCTGTGAAGTCTCAGATATCCTTCTCAGCATACCCTTTTCAGGTCAGTGATCTAAAAGTATTAAAATAAGATCAGCAGAAAGCTGGGTAACTAGCATTTTCAGAAGAACAGGTCAGCAATGGCAGCCTTCGTATTTCTCTAATGACAGATTTCCATGAAGCAGATTATCAGCTCAGAGAGGAAGGTGCAATTTTCACTTTACACCAAAACTGATACTTTTATTTTTTTAGTTTACATTGACTTGAACCTGGAAACAATTGCAAACTTTTAAAAGTAAACATTCCACTTAAAAGGATAAAATGTTTATTAAAAAAAAAGTGCACTTATCCTTTCTGCCTCCTTTGCCAAAACCTAAACTAACCCACCTTCCTCCTCCCAGAACAATTCCTCAATCTGACGAACCGAAGTCTCCAGTGTTTGTATACATCCAGCGCTGCAAGCCTCTGTCCTTGCCTCACCTGCACATTGCAGCCCTCTAGATGTCCCACCATCTCCCTTTGTCTCCATCCTCAGGACATGGCTCCATAAATGTCTAGGGAGATAAAATGTGCAGACGTGGAAAGGACAACGTGACTTGCAGTACTGGATGTGATCAAATACCAAAGGCCGCAGCTACCAAAGCGAGCAAAGTTTACATCTATGGAAGGGGAAAAAGAATTCAACTTAAGTCAGGCCAAACCCCACAAGAAAACCTCACAAGGTGCCTGTCATTACTTTAGCCATAGCTCCCAACTGTCCCTGATTTGGAACAAAGTCCGTCTGTCACTCCTTCCTCCTCATTTGTCCGTCATTTTGGTCTAATCTATATAGTTGAATATAAAATGCACTTTTTAACTTTCAAAAAGTGTTCCCCACTGCTAAACCTTTTATCCAGTTTCTATATTGCTGCATTTGTAAATTTCAAAAGCCAGTATAAAGGAATAGTAGTAGTAACAAGAAGCACTTGTGAGTTTAACTAATCATTGTTTTTTTTAATTCTCCTTTAAGGGGGGTGGATGGGGGGGTATGTCCTATGCCTACATACTTTTGCTAATAGGTGTTTTTCATTCCCAACTCAAAAAATTGCTTTAACTGAATAGAAAATCCATCTTCGTTGTGCCTGTATGAAAATAATTTTAAACATTGAGGGCTCATAAACAAGGCATTTTGGTTAGGTATTAATAAGGATCTTTAGTGTTCCCAGGATTGATCTCCTCAAGCTTACCCTAATAAGTCTTATACCAAAACCACCACTCTACACCAAATGAGTTGAGGAACTAGGTCCTGCTGTAGCAGAAGAGGATAGGCAAACCATCTGGTCAGCAATGGCGAAAACGAGAAGAAATATATTTGCGCTTGAAAATTCTTACAAAGTGATTTCATTGGCACACCTGCCTAATTCCATCTTACCCTTTGTTTTAGGTGTTGTACCCAGTTAGGTTCTATGTCAGATATATGGTGGACCTGCCACAAGGTGACACGACTATAGATTCAGGTGTATACCTTTTGTAAATACTATATTGTCCCACAACCTTCCTAAAGGCCTTTGGGAGGCCCTATTATATAAAACTGTACAGAATGTAACCAGATATCAACAGCCTTTGATCTCTCACACCTTTATGGCCACTAGGCAATCTACAGCGTCGTCATGGAAAAAGACCTGTACTTTTGATGTCAAATGTGGAGTCACAGGTACCATGAGTGGGAAATTAACAGCACTACTAAATGATTCTCATAATACATTTTTTTTTAATTGGCAAGTCTGGGTGTCATATGGTGGCCCCCAGAGTACTGATACCCTACTTACTTGTGGTTTCCTAAACTGATCACCTAACAGGAGGATGATGAGTATGCTTACCTCAGCCTTTCTAAACCTTTTTAACATGGAGAAACCCCTAAAATAACTTCCTGGGCTTAGGGAACCCTTGCTATTAAATACTATACCTACAACTCATGAAACATTAGCATGAGGGTCAGTGAGATGAATCTCCATTTCCCCCTCAAAGATAGCTAAAAAGATAATTGGTTTCAGTACTTATTTGAGAGGGATAAATTGCTAATTTCTCAGGGAGCTCCTATCAAACATTGGATGAACCCTGGCTAAGAAAGGCTGTCGTACATGTTCCCCCTTTCTTTTCTTTCTTCTTTGTTCTCTCCTCTCCATCTCGGCACCTTACCCTATCAGACTCCCTCCTTCCTTCTGACCTCCCTTACCTCTTTTTTTCCCCTCTCTGTGTACATCCTTATTGACCCTCTCTCATCCTATTACACTTCCAAAAGGGGTAGGTTTACTATCCACCTTACTTTTAAACTGGCTTTACACTAGTAGAGTTGTATTAAAAAAGTTATTTCAGGTCATAAGGTTTTCCAACCGTTAGGGTCAAATCAACATTAATTTTCAAACAGAAAGAAGATATGGAGATATCCCCCTAGGAATTTGTAGGGCAAAAAAAGTTTGTACAAAAGTAAAAAACAGTAAATTGTTTATTGCAAAAAGTTTTTTTGATAAAAAGAATCAAGTGATTCGGTGAGGTTGAACTGCAATACAATTCATGACTTAAAAAAGTAAAATGACATATGCATGTATATATAACATGACAGTCTGTAATACATCAACTGACAAGTGAACTAGCAGCCTAAAAAGACTTGATCAATGATAGTATCAAGACAAATCCAACGCGTTTCAGAGCTCATGTTTCCTTCTTCTGGGAATAAACGACAGGTAAATTGCACCACATCAGGTAGTAGTTACAAGATGATCATAGAGAATTAGGTGAAGATGCTTTCTGAGTGACACGCCTAGGAGAGGGCGGGCAGGAACACCCCAATGAACCATCCACCAGCAAGGTTCACACTACAGCAACCAGTAAGGGGGTCAATAATAGCATTGTGGTATCATATGGAGCTGCATCATAATCATCTAGCAATCTGCTTTCTGTTTCAATAATTGGGATGTTGGCAAAAATAGTGTAAATGGTGGGACATTTTACCCAATCTCCTAGTTTCTTTAATTTCAACTGCAATGACAAGAAAATTTGAAGAAGCAGGATGGAAATTTTTTCTTGAACAAAAGAATTTCTAACAGTGAAAGTGTTTTTTGTTCAGGAAAGTCCATTCGCTCCAAAAGTTTATGTTAAAAGCAAAAGTTTTTTGAAGTACTTGACATTTGTCAAATCAAATATACTGATTTTTGCATGATTTTTGAATTTCTTGTAAGAACATTTATTTGAAACTGTACTAGTGTATGACCAGCTTTAATTAGGACTTTTACTTTGAAAAGTATTGAAAGGTAGAATAGATCTAGTCTTAAATCTTTAAAAGAACTTGACCTGTAAGTGTTACCCACATTTAGCCAGATTACAAACTGCATTATTTTTTAATCTGTCAAGATAATCATTAATCAATTTTGACAGAACACTCCAGTCAAGCATAAAAATTCTTCATTTGAAGAAACATAAAAAAGTCCTTGTTATGTAAATTTCTTTTTTAAGCTCTTGTGGCTTCATTAATACTTTTCTCCAAATTTCCATACCAACTAAGCTGTCTATCAAAAATTGACTCTGTTGGTTTGGGAAAAATTTAACACTGCTAACCACATCACCGTCATTTTTGATGAATAGATTGTGCATGTAGATGTGAAGAAATATACCATTTTTTTAAAAAGCTCATCATATACAACATGACAGATTAGATCCTCTCCAGTGTGGGTATTGATCTCTCAAAACTTTAGTCCTTGGTGATCTTTCTTATGTATTTTAGCAAAAAGATGATAGACTCAGTTTAGTGAAATCCTTTCATATATTCGTTATGTGCTCCGACAAACATTTAGCCCTAATAGTTTTTCCTACATACCAGAGACCGCAAGGACATTCCAGCAGGTAAGTTACATGAGTGGTCTGACTAGTGCTTAATTAAAAAAATGTATCCATTGTCTCTAGAATAAAAAGGTCTGTTTCCTAGGTAGTATATTATATATAGTATATAAAAAACAAAGACTTTTTGGTTGGGGGGATTAATAGTACAGAAGACAAGTTTTCCTTTCAAACTGTCAGTTTTCTTATATAGGTTTTTGATTATGTGGTGAAATCGGCCCCAGTACTTTAGTGTTATGAGAGTCAACACCCACACATTCCTGATGACGTTGAATTTGCAATACTACTTCTCAGTCTGAGCATCCAAGAAGATACCAGGGAGGCCTCTTGCTTTCAGGATTATCTGTATGCCCTAGTGCTTGGAGGCACTATGGACATGTGAGTGCTTTTAGCTGTTCTGTGGATTTTAACACATTTTATACCAGTTCAATCACTGAAAGGATTTTTTTTTCATCTCTATATGATCTAAGTAATGTTTGGATGGAACTTCCTGTGACTACTGAATAGACTACTCAATTCTCTGGCTTATCTGGGGAAAGGGGGGGGGCACCGATCAACTGTTTGGAGATCATATAATTATATTTGCTTTCAAATTAAGAGTGATGCACTGCCTACAATTTCCTTTGGAGTTGTGGAAGTGCAACTTTTGGACTATTTAGAGACATTTTGAAAAAATATCTACACACACATATTAGTTATTCTATACTATTCTATACTTAACTATTCTTCTAAGTGTTCCTTTTTTGGAGCCTGTGAAAATTCAAGCCAGTGATTTCATCGCCACTCTCCTTACTAAGGCTCATAAATTGAGACAAAGGCTGCGTTTCTGCCAACCAGCAGGGTGATAAGACTGTTAAATCTTTCAAGAAAGGAACATATAAAACAAAGTAATGAAAGAAATGTACTGACGTATGCACAGATTGCACCATTAGAGGTTTGTGGTTGGTTTGTTGCCTAGATTTGATGTGTATAGTGTTATTAAGCTCCTGTGAACAAATTGTACAGTATATACAGTATAGCTTATATCCTTCTATTGCTGTTTTCCCATGTCTCTGCAGCCCGTGTTTGCATCACAATCAAAATATAAGCTTTTGGTATATTCACTAATAGGGGGGCTCCACCACCATGCAAGGTCTCGTTGAAACCACCATGACTGTTGGACAGCTACGAGAGAGAGGAGGTGCATATGCATATGGGCTGGGCACAAGGACAAAGGAGGCCCCCTTATGTGGTTACAGTGTGAAGGCATACACAGTATGGCTAAGTGCAAGTAATGATGGCATTAAATTGCAGTATGGCTGGGCACAAATAATTAGGGACATTTAGTTCAATGCAGAAGGCCATCTGATGCTACATGGCAGGCAAGAATGCACAGAGACAAAAGGGGGAGAGGTTTAGCGTAAGGCACCATAAACATGTAGTTTAAATACAAGAGATCATCTGACAATGCAGTGAGCACTCCCTAATCAGGAAGGTCAGGAAAGTGATGCTCTGATCTGGAGCCGACGGCATTGAGGAGTACAAAATATAAGTGTATGCACACACATTTGCTGTAAATAATGTATAGGGGAATGTTTCGCTGGATGGTTAGAATGCAGTCATCAAGCATTTAAAACTACTTTAAGCTTCTTGCACTGTACTCTTTTTATAGCAGGTATAAAGAAAGATTTTCCCATATCAGCAGAAACAGTTGTAGAAAAATGATAGAAGAGCAGTCTGGGTAATGTTTTCCCAGCAGCAAAGGACAATCCTGTCATTAGCTGTCTTTGACATTGCTGCTTTCCACAAAGGAGACAAACGTATTGACAGTATCCACCAGTGTCTATGCAAATGAGGCTGGATTGCCTGAATGCACAATTAATTACGGGGTTATTTATACCAGAAATGTTAATTTCTATGGGAATTATCACTTAGCATCTTATAATAAATTCATGGGGGATTAGCAAAGTTCACAAAGTAAGTAGTAAAGTCACCAAGTCACCTACAAAGAAATCCAAATTATAATAGTGAATAGTGGCGTGCTATAACATTACTTTATGGGCCCCAAGCTTCCTTTTCTGCTGCTAGACAGATATTGCCAGCTTCAAAAAATAGAATTAGAATAGAAAAAGCAATGATTATTCAGTGTTGTGCATTAAAACAAAGGTCTAGGGGAAAAAAAGGCTCCACAACAGATCTTTAGCAACACCTAACCACACAGGACCTTACATAAGCAACTCCGTCTACAAGGCCTTGTTTACACATGCAGTGCTCTCTGCAGATCCAGGTTGGAAGTAAAAAGATACCCAGCATGTCAAGTATTAAAACTGAGCGTGATAATGAAATTGTGAAAAACTTCAGTACTCTAAATTTTCAATAGGCAATGCTGGAAAAGCCTCTACAGGTCATCAGTTTAGAGTCAACCATGAATATTGGCTCTAGAATTATTGCTACCACAATGGATGTGTGTTTACATTTGTATGTACAGGTATTAAGGGGTGGGCTCAACAATTTTTTTTAGATTTATCAAAACTATGTAACATGAGCATCTACCTTGTCTAACCAATCAATCTGTATCCAATCAAGCAAGCCCTTGCCCTGAATAGTTTTGGTAGATCTAAATGGGATTGTGCAGTCAGATTGTAATGTGTGTGGTGCGCCTAAAGGAGAGATTGTACAATCAATCAGATTGAATAATGTATGACCAACTTTAACAGCTTCCCAACTGCCCTTTAGCAGAACTGTTGCTACAGGGCGGCAAGGCTGCGCAAAATCCCGTAGAAATAGGGGATTTTGCATTTCCGGGTAGGGGGCGCGTGTCAATACCGGGTCCCGGCCTGAGATTCCCCGCAGGCACCCGATGATTTCCGAGGAACACGGACAGGGGAGAGGTCTATATGTAAACAATACAGATCTCTCCCCTGTCAGCATCAGCATTCTGCTTTGTATTGCTCTGCATAGCAGAGCAATACAAAAGCAGCATGCTTACATAGTAAAACAGCACATAATGTGAAACACACACCGCACACAGTTAATCCTTTGATCACCCCAGATGTTAACCCCTTCCTGCCCAGTGTCATTAGTACAGTGTCAGTGCTTTTTATTAGCACTGACCACTGCATTAGTGTCACTGGGGATGTTAGTGGCAGTTAGTCAGTTCCCCCCCAGTGTCAGAATGCCTGCCACAGTCCCGCTATAAGTCTGTGATCACCGCCATTACTAGTATAAAAAAAAAATTCCAGTATATATAATCACTATTTCTAGACGTTGTAACTTTCATGTAAACCAATTAATTTACACATATTGGAATTTTTTTTTTTAGGAAAGAAATGTAGCAGAACACATTTTGGCCTAAATTTATTTTTTTACTGGATATGTTTTATAGCAGGCGATCAAATACCACCTAAAGAAAGCTCCATTTGTGGGAAAAAAATTTCATTTGGGTGCAGTGTTGCATGACCCGCGCAATCGTCAGTTGAAGTAACGCAGCGCTGTATCGCAAAATATTGCCTGGTCAGGAGGGGGGGGGGGGGGGGGTAAATTCTCTGGAGAGCAAGTGGTTAAGCTAGCAATTAGATTGTACAGTCTGCTTTAGCGTGGCCAAAACTATATAGTTTGAGAAGAAAGCTAAACCACCAAGTTGAATTAATATCAAGGCAGGACCTTGCACTACATAGTTGATGGAAGAACTAAAGGAGATTATATAGTGTATGGTCAGCTTTAGTTAAAAAAAAACAAAAAAAACAAAGAAGAGCATACTTTATGTGTCAGTGCTTCTTTCATTCCTGGTGCAGTACAGATCAGACCTCTCAACCAAGTAAACATAGCAATCATAAGCACATTACAAAACAATAAACACAATAATGAACTGTGTACATGTATTATATACAGTATAATCTCCCTGAATGGCTCACCAGGGGACAGCCAATGTTTTCTGTATTGCTCAGCACATCTGATAATTGCACTTGTCCAATGTATGACATCAATGTTTCTAGGGTGAATATTTTCCACATGACACCGCACAGATGTACAGTCACAGCATACATCCAGCCATACAATTAAACAGATGTGAAACAATGGGTTTAGGCCCCTTTAACATGGTCATTTCAATCAAATCCACCTGTCATTTTTCCAAGTGGACTGAAACAGAGGCTCCATATAAGGCGTCATTTACACAGTATGTACGAAAGCGTAAGCCTATGGAGGGCTGTGTTTACCCGCATGGGGATGCCTCGCATGGGGATGCCCCAGGCAGGCAATTCCACTTGTGTCAATGGGGATACGGCAGCTGCACAAACTCAGCTGTTGCTCCCAATTTGACATTTGTGGGTGCAGGTGTGTGTCTCCAAATGAAGATTGCGTCAGTTCAGGGATACGCACCCGCACTTAAATGATGTCAAATTTGGAGCAGGAACAGTGGCTATGTCTGTGCAACTGTTGCATCCCAATTGACATGAATTGGACTGCCTGTACAGGGATACACAGAACACCTGTGTGAATGAAACCTAAATCTACCAATGGGCAAATGGGCATGGAAAGGAAAAAAAATGTTAGCGTCTTTTTCCATTTTTAACAGACCTAAATGTGGCAGATCTAAGGTGATATGATGTAAATGGTCACACATCTGTTTACATCTACCTGCCCATAAACCTAACATGGGTCGATCATAGGGTTGCCACCTAATCCCTTTAAAACTGAACACATATTAATTACACAGGTTCTGTGGCTGATTAACCACTTGCCCTACTGAGGATTTACTCTCCTTCCTGACCAGGCCTTTTTATGCTATTCGGTGCTGCACTATTTCAACTGGTAATTGCGTGGTCATGCAATGCTGTAGCCAAAATAAATTTACGTCCTTTTTTTCACACAAATAGAGCTTTCTTTCGGTGGTATTTTTATTGTTTGCGCTATAAACAAAAAAAGACCTGAAACTTTGAAAAAAAAGTATTTTTTACTTTCAGCTATAAAAAATATCCAAAAAAAAACCCTCAAATTTCATCATAAATTTAGGCAAAAATGTATTCTGCTACATGTTTTTTTTGGTAAAAAAAAAATCCCAATAAGTGTATATTGATTGCTTTGTGTAGAAGTTATTGCGTCTACAAACGATGGTATAGATAATGGAATTTACACAGCTTTTACTTGCTGATTGCCCATCACATTTCTTTAGGTGCTAAAATACCAGGACAGTACAAACACCCCCAAATGACCCCTTTTCGGAAAGTAGACACCCTAAGCTATTTGCTGAGTGGCATATTGAGTCCATAGAAGATTTTTTTTTTTTTCCAAAAGTTTTGGGAAAATTACAAAATGTATTTTTTTTTTTTTTTTTTTTTTTTTACACAAAGTTCTCACTTAAATGATATATTGCTCATACAAGCCATGGGTATATGTGGAAGTACACCCCAAAATACATTCTGCTACTTCTAGTGGGAGCCTAGCCACATACAGGAGCCTGAAATCCAATGACCACTTTGAAAGCCTGAAGGTGCATAATTTCCCCATTTCACTTCCTCACTACCTATCACAGTTTTGGAGGCCGTGAAATGCCACGATAGAAACCCCCCCCCCAAAAAGTAGACCCCTTGAAATAAAAAAAAAAAAGAAAAAATATGTTTCTGTTTTCTTTCTTCATTTCCCAAAAACCTGTGGCAACAAATTAGATCTGCAAAATACTCACCATGCTTCTTATCGAATTCCTTGGGGTGTCTACTTTCCAAAAAGGGGTCATTTGGGGGATTTGGTGCTACCCTGGCATTTTTTAGAGCCTCCAAAACTGTGATAGGTAGTCAGGAAGTGTAATGAGGAAATAAAGCCCTTTAAAAGCCTGGAGGTGCTTAATGGAATTTGGGGTCCTGTACTTGGCTAGCCTGAAAAAACATCTCTCACATGTGGTACCCCCATACTCAGGAGAAGTAGCAGAATGTATTTTGGGGAGTAATTCCACATATACCCATGGCATGTACAAGCATAAAATCATTTAAGTGACAATTTTGTGTAAAAAAAAAAAAAAAAATTTTTCATTTTCCAAAAACGTGGTAAAAAAATTAATTCTCAACATGCCTCTCAGCAAATAGTTTGGGGTGTCTATTTTCCAAAAAAAGGGTTGTTTTGGGGGGTGGGGGCATTTTATGCCCAGCATTAGAAGTTTACGCCACGCATCACTCAATCTTCTAATCACCTGAAGACCAAGTCTTTTCTGACTTTTTGTTCACATGAAAAAAAAAAAAAAAAATCTGTATTTTTTGCTAGGAAATTACTTTGAAACCCCAAACATTATATATTTTTTAAAGCAGACACCCTAGTGAATAAAATGGTGGGTGCTGCAATTGTTTAATGTTACATAGTACTCACACAGCAATTTTTCAAACCGTAATTTTTTGAAAAACAAAATACACTTTTTTTTACTTTTAATGCACAAAAACACAATATATTGGCCAATTATTTGGTAAAATATAAAAGACGATGGTATGCCGAGTAAAGAGATACCAAACATGACATACCTTCACACTGCGCATGCCCCGTGCAATGGCGACAAACTGCATTTTTAATATCCATAGGCACTGCTTTATAAGCCTTTACAAGCTATCATTTTAGATTTACAGAGGAGGTTAATGCTAGAATTACTGCCCTTGATCTGACATTTGCAGCGATACCTCACATGCATGGTGTAACTGCTGTTTACATACTGGCACAGGGTCAAAGCTCGCTCATGCGACGGGGGTAAGGGTGCTTTTTTTTTTTTTGAATGGCTGCAGAGACATGGCAAATGAAATCAAAAATCTCATCCAGCAGCACTGCACACACCTGCTTATGTGTATTCTGAGAGCAAGACCCTGTTGCTGTCAGAATAAACAAGTCAGTACTGCAGCTGAATAACATCCTCATTTCTCAAGCAGACTTTTTCCCCCTTTCTAAGATGGGTATTTACAAGCCGTTGGGGGAAACCCCAGCGATTAGGTCGCATGGTGCCACATGCACCAATTCCAAGATTGTACAAATCTTGAAATAATGGCATAATCTTGAAATAGTTGTCCATGTATAAGTGGTACCCCATATGGAAAAATGGATGACACCAAGTCCTAAACTATCTTGCCATGTAGTCCGGGAATCCGGGGGCTCCACTTGACAATCTTTTCCCTCGTAAATCCAAAACTTATATGTATAGCCTGTTGCCCTCTCACAGGTCTTATATATCTTAACCCCATATCTGGCACACTTGCTGGGGAGAAATTGTTTGAATGCAAGGCGGCCAGAAAAATTAATGAGAGACTCATCAACGCAGATATTTTGCTGGGGAGTATAGACATCTGCAAATTTTTGATTAAGGTGATTTATGAGGGGCCGAATTTTGTGGAGTCAGTCAAATTCAGGGTCACCCTAAGGACGACAGAGTGTATTATTGCTGAAATGCATAAAACGCATTATACTCTCATATCTATGCCTGGCCATGGCAGCAGATAACACAGGCATTTGATAAATCGGGTCTGTGGACCAATACAACCGCAATTATTTTTTTTAGTAATGCCCATGTTGAGGGTTAGGTCCAAAAAAAAAAAAAAAAAAAGTGTGTGGTATCCCCACCGTTAGAATATACCACCCTGCATCCACCCACTTCTAATGGTGAGCACACATGAAATGTTCTTTTTTCCGTAGGCTGAGCACAAAAAAAAGAATCTAACAGATTCCTCTATTCACATTGATCGATGTGAATGAAGTAATCTCTGCCAAAAAATGTTTGGGCATATATACTCTTTTTTTTTAACTGCGGATGAAGAATCTAATCCGAACAGCACTGCACACACTTATGTATATTCTGAGAGCAAAACCCTGTTGCTGTCAGAATAAACAGATCGCTGCTGCAGCTGAATGGCATTCCTGCAAAGAAAACAGCAATGGTTAACTATAACACAGTAAAACCATAACAGTAGAACAGTAACTCGACAACAACAAAGAAAAACTACAACTATTTTTGGTTTTTAAAATAACAAAAAAAATTTTTTAGTTTTTCGCTTTACTTTTTTTTTTTTTTTTTTAAACTGTAACAAGCAGATATTAGGGTCTCTCAAAATGCAATAGCCAGTTTCCTGACTACCTAACATCTTTTGAGACCCTGTGCAAATATGTGCCCTCAACTGTGCCGTGCTGTACCCTGTACTATTAGTCCACTAGTGTATGGTAGTGACGGAAGCAGTC